GAAGGAAGAGACTGTTGGTTTGGTGGCCTGGGATTCTTCAGTCCAGCCAAGTCCCTGCCAGGGAATGCTTTCACTGCTAACTAGATCGCCCATCTCTATCCCTGCCTCCAAACTCTCCAAAGGGTCCCATTTCCTGCTCTTGTAGCTAAGAAAACTATTCTTTCATTTCTAAAGAAAATGAAATCTTATCTGGTGATGAACATTCAGGTATTGGTCAGTCAAATAGCAATTAATAGAGAGTCTGCTAAAATCTTTATGAAAAAATGGAAGGTGGAATAGAAGAAAGAAAAGGGAGATTGCGTTCTCAAGAGTGAGACCCCAGGGGTGTGGAGCGGAGTTCACCGGGCAGTGAACCCGCTGGGCGGCCACGCAGCCTGCGACCCCCTCCCCGCCCCTCGCCCTATTGTCCTGGATCCAAGCCCGGGGTCATGACCCAGCTGAATGCGACACCGAGCCTGAGGCGGACGGGGCATGGAACCCGGAGGAAGAGCTGGGCTGCCGCTGGCCTCTTGCATTTCGTCTTTGCCAGGGCTGGTCCCATTTCTCGATCCTGAAGGTCCCCGTAGCTGGGACCGGCCCCCGCCCCCAGTTTCCCCCTCCCCAGTGAAGGCAAGCTGCTTTGTGCCGCATCCTCTTGAGCCCGGCTTCCGGGAAGCCAGAGGCCAGGGCGGGAACCTAAGATTGAACTATTTGTCAGTGCCTCCCTACACACTTCGTTTTAGGGTTTCTCCATTCAGAAGTTCAAATATACTTTGCTCTCACAATCTCTGATGCTGGGAAGGGAGGGTCAAAAAGGAGGAATGAGTAGAGGTGACACTTCTTTGGGCTTGACCCACACCCCACCACAGCTGGCAAAGCAGACCACAGAGGACCCTACTCTTCTGGAATATGGCAATTGTTGATGGGGACTGGAAATTTAAAATTGTTCCTTCCCATGATTAGGCTCTATAACCCTATTTACCCTCAAACACACTCCAAGATCCTCCCTACTCATCCTTGTTTTCCTGCCTCCTGATTTATCGGCTGGCTGGGCCTGCAGGAATGGGAAGCAGGAAGGTGGAGCTGCAGAGGCCCTTACCCCTGCTTGCATGGATGTGGGCTCGGCTTGTGGGTGCACCCTGTGTTCAAAGAAGCTACAGAGCTAACACCAGAGAGAAGAGCAGAAAAATCCCGAGGAATGGAGGAAGAGCCAGTTCAGAGAAGGAGCCCCTGGATCTGGAGGGCAGAGAGCAAATCTTGGTTTCTTTTCTGCTCCCCAAATTCAAAAGAGATCTGAGCTCCTCAAGCTGCACAGGTTTTAAGGTGGCTGAGGGACCCCTTCAGGTCTCTGATTCAAACAATGCACCCTACCATTTTTTATTCTCGAGAGGCAGTTAAAACTCAGTACCCACTGCAGGAGAAAAATTAAAATGAGGCTAGTGATCTGGGGTGCAGCAGAAACAGGCTGAGAGGGGTGGTCAGTTCTAGCAGAAATATTGGTCAAAGGCAAAGACTTCCTTTTCTACCAAATCCCCCAAATGTTTATTTTGGGCTCCTGCCCATCCAGATAAATCAAGCTAACAGATTAGGAAGTTCATAAAATTGTATTGTTAGGTAATGATATCCAGAGAGGTAATAAATATTCTATCTGTTCTGATGGCCACTGGAGTTAGGGGATCCTCTATCTCTTTTTCCAAGCTTGAGAAGAGTTTCTTAAAAGGGGAACATTTCAATTAGAATTAGCTCTCCAGAGGTGGGGTGCCAGATGGAAGCTGTGGAAACCTAAAGAAGTGGCTTTGTAAGGCATGCTCTCCCCCAGGGCCTGGGCAAAAAGCAGAGAAAAGGGTGGTGAGATGCCCCAGCCCGCTGCTCCTCTCGCTACAGTGCCCTCAGTCTCAGGGACTCCCTTGCTGGTCACTACCCTGTAATCTTAGAAAAGCAGACAAACTGTGCCTAGCAGGGGCTACCCTGGCCCCAAGCTCTGGAGAACCACTTAATCATTTTATCTTCCTCACCATTCCCCCAAACACACACACACACACACACACACACACACACACACACACTGTGGATTGCAACCCACAAAGTCCACGCATGAAAAAAGATGCACAGAGTGCGGGGGGAAAAAAACTTTGTAGGAAACTTCATACAAACAGCGGTGAGAGGCTCTCAGAAACAAAGTTCCCCCGTCCTTTCTCCCAGGCTCACTTTCCCGGCCGTCTCCCCTTTTTGAGCCAAGTTTCTTCACTCCTCAAATATACCGCGTAGGAACTCCATTTTCCCCAAGCAGAAGCCCTCCGTTCAGGATTGGATTTCCCACCTTCCCTCCCCAAGACTGGAGTTGAGATAAAAATTGAATGGCAAATAGAGTTGAAACTGCCGTGCTTCTCACCCCCAGAGCAGATCGAGTGCTAACTACTTACATGTCAAAGGAATTTTTGACTTGTGGGGATCTCCTGGCGCTTGGAGAGAAAGACCTTGGAAGATTGGTGCCGATGTGGTTTCACCCGTCTTCTTTTTACTTGGCGGTTAGAGAGAAAGATACAATGCGCTAGCAGGCATTCATGCGCCTCTCTTCTCCCATTACTCTGGGCAAGAAATCGCCAGCCCCACAAAAGCAGTGGCATCCTATCTGGAGACCAGGGGTTGAGCCAGGGCTGGCTTGGGAGGGTCGGAGATGGGGGTGGGGGAGAGGTCAGAGGCGCTGCTGCCGAATATAAAGGCAATGGGAGAGAAAAAGCTGTGTCCTCCCCGTGAACCTGGGCTGTGTCCTCCCCACTGCCCCCCCTCCCCCAGCCTTTTCCCCACTGCTCAACCCAACTTCAATGAAAGCCCCAACCCTCAGCCCTGGGCTTCCCAGTGAGGCTGTAGCAGTATCGGGTGGAGCAGTAGCAGCAGGGGACCAAGCCCGCCAGAACTAAGGCCCCTGGTCCAGGTTGGCCCCCCACACCCTTCTCCCCAACCCTCCCCAACATCCTGATCCCATTCTGGGTGGTAAGGTGCAAGGCAAAGGAGAGCTTTGAGGAAAAGGAGAGAATGGAGCCCACTGGAGGGAAGGCCAGAGGCCGAAATCTTCAACAACTCAAGTGTAAAGGGGTTTAGTTTTATTTTATTGGTCAAGAATTATGGATTTCTGATGTTTCCGACCAAGAGGAACAGAGAACAGAGAGAGTGAGTGTGTGTACGTGTGTGAGAGGAGGAAGGAGAAACTGGAGCCCTGAAAGAGGAAATAAGAGAACTGTCCCAATCCTTTTAAGCTGCTTTTCCTTCAGCAAGTTCAGGGAGAAGCTTAAGAAATAAGACAGTGATTTTCCCCCTCTTTGCTTTCATCTCTTCCACTTTCAGGAGGAGATGGAATAAATTCCCGTGAAACCAAAGGAGCAAAGTTAGGAAATGACTATGGATCTTAATTTTATTTTTTCACCCATCTCTTTCCATATTAGCTTCCTTACAGGCTTGGAAAGACACCCAAGTCCACCCCTTAGACCTTCCTTCCCTTTTCCCAAACACAGCTAGACCCCCTCTTCCTGCCCCAAAGTCAACTGCCTCAAAATGACAGCAGCTACAGTCAGACTGGGCCCCTAATTCACTTGATTACACAAAATAACTCTAGATAATCGTTGGCCCTGCTTCCTCGCACTGTAGGCAGCATGTTTTGCTGTCTCCAGGGTACCATTGAGGGAGAGAAAGTAGACCTACAGGACCAAGTGATTCCCCTCAACACACACACACACACACACACACACACACACACACACACACACACACACACTGTCCTCCAAGAACCAGCCAGCAAGTGGTGCAAGAGGAAATAAATCTAGATCACACCGAACTGACTTGCACAACTTGGTCCCCTTGTTGCCTTTCACTCCAGAATTTGGGGAGACAGGAAAGGAGTATCTCTGGCTCCCTTATGTACCCCAGGTCTCTTCTCCTTCTCTCTTCTACTTCTGATAGATCTCCAACCTAAATTTTGGATAAATTGCCAGAGAAGCTCACCAACTGCCTTTCCCACCTTCTCCCAACAAATAAGCAAAAATTTGAGCAAGTCTTGCTTAGAGCTTGCTTAGAGTTTGGCCTTTAGGACCAGAATTATTTGGGAACCTTTGACTTAAATGAATTGCTCAGGTAATCCAGACCAGTTTTCTTTCTTTCTTTCTTTCTTTCTTTGCCCCACGGAAATAATTTTAAAACAAAAAGTTTACAGCCAGAGAGCCTTGTTCCAGCCTTCCCTTATCCTTGCAGGGACCTGGGAGGTTGCAGGAAGAGGGGTGGTTCCTGCCTCTCCCCCGTATCTTTTCTCAACACCTGGCATGTCCATGATAAAAGTTAGGGGGGAAAATAGAAGTTCTTCATTATCTCCAGCCATCAGGCTTTGAGGCCTACCAATGCAAGGGGGCCTCCCAGGCCTCTGGCCTCTACTTCACCCTTCTTTCCAAGTCTAAACAAACAGAGAAGCCATCCTGACAGGTCACTTCGCTGCTTCAGAATCACCAGCTCAAATCTTTCTTCTTTTAACAAGAACACACATATCAAGGGGGCATCTTTCTTAATCCCTCATCCCCAAAGAGCCCTAAAAGATGAAAACTTTTCTTTCTCCTACTATCTAAACTTGCCTTCTTGTCTGCAAATTAAGCAGGCCTACTCCGCAGAAAGAAGGGAGAAAGTAGGAGAGGGAAATAGAAAGGAGAAAGAACTGTGCCTAACTATAGAAAAGTGAGACACCCCCCCAGCTCCACTGTAAGTACCCCCAGGAGAATCTGGCCTCTTTGCAGACTCAGAGAGAGGGGCCAGAAGAAATCAGCCCTAATCTTCCACGTCCCCTCTTGTGAGCATCCGCTGTCCCAACCCCTTTACTGGTTCTTCTAAGGACATTGGAAAGCTAGAGTTGAGAGTTAAGATTTGTGTGTTTGCTTAGAGTAAACTTAGGCAACTATAGAGAAGGTGGGATGTTACCAGGCCAGTAAGAGGATGGGGATAAAAAAGAAACCATCAGACATTGACGTAAAACTAATTCACATCCACTGGTTTATTATTGATCACGGGGCATTTCACATCGACACTAAAATTCTTTATTGCAAGTTTTACAACAATCAAGTAAATTCAGTCCAAAAACACAATAACCATGGTGGAGGATGGGGGGAGGGATTCTACCTATAGACTTCCTCTCTGAACTGAAAGTTCATTTTTATTTTCTTTTGGCTCCTCAAACTGAACAGCTCTGAGAGGCTCTCCAGATGCATTTAGCTTTGTCTGCTGTCTTCCCCCATCTCCTCCCAGCCTCCCCCCACAACAATAATACAAAAGAACTTCATAGCTTTGTTCTCCTTAAAATGACTTCCCTCTCACTAACCTCCCCTGGTGCATTTTCAATGCAAAAGGCCTAAGGAAAGAGGAGGGGATAAGAGGAGGAGGAGAAGGAGGAGAATTGGCTTAAAAATCTCTTTCTTTTTTTCTTTTCCTCATTCCCCCTGAAATCCACCCAAACCAGACCATCACACCTTGCAATATATAATTTTTGCAGTTTTTTTTCTTAAAAAATAAATAACCCCCCAAAATGGCCTTTAAAAAAAACCCCAGCAGGTACCATGCTAAGACAACATCACATGCTTACAAGGGTCCTTAGTAGCGGGAGGAAGAGAAGGGTAGGGGGCTTGTTTGTTTATCTGTTTTGTCTGTTTGGAATTGACAAGGGGTAAGGTGGGAAGAAGAAAGAAAAGAACCAAAATATATATATATTAAATTCTATAAATAAGAGTCAATTTGTATGTGAGGGGAGGATGGGGGCATGGGATGGGGGCAGGGTGTGAGTTATGTTTTATAACCTGGTAATGTCCTCTGCCCGCTGCTGCTCCTGCGGCGTGGCGCTCTGGGAGTGGTCTTCAGAAGTGCCCGGGGTGGCTGCCGAGAGGGTGCTGGGCGCAGCGCCGGCCGGGGGCGCTGACCTGACTTTGGTGTTGGGGAGTCGGTGGTCCTTCTTCCATTTCATGCGACGGTTCTGGAACCAGATTTTGATCTGCCTCTCAGAGAGGCACAGCGAGTGGGCGATCTCGATCCTTCTCCTTCGGGTCAGGTAGCGATTGTAATGAAACTCTTTCTCTAATTCCAGGACTTGCTGCCGGGTGTAGGCTGTCCTCGAGCGCTTGGGTTCCCCTCCGTTATAATTGGGGTTCACTGGGGGGTTTGGAGGGGAAAAGCAAATAGTGGGGTTCAGAGGCAGCAGGCTCCCCTCCCCCCACCCTCACCCCAACCTCAGCTCTGTGGAACAGGAGGAGGGGGTGGTGGAAATAAAGTCATCAAGCTAAATGGGTTATAAAGAAGTTGAAGGAAGCTGGAGACTTTGTAGTGTAATAAGAGGGGAATCCTCATTGTAACGACACTGAATTATTTATGCGCCCTTAGAAAGCGAGCATAGTTTTCACACATACATAACAGATCGTAGCACATGGCTCGGACTGCCCAGAGTAGCTAAGCCATAAAATTTATGGGGGATGTAATTACCCATTCTCGCTCGTAAATCCAGTTCAATTGTGCTAACCCAGAGTCGCTCCTGGAGAGAGAGGGGGAAGGAGAGAAAGGAGGACGGGGGCCAGAGGGGGCCAGGGAGGGTGGGGAACGCTGGGGAAGAGGGGAGGGAGGGGGAGAGCAAAAAGCAAAGTTGCCTACCCGTGCTAACGTGGATTTTTTTCATCCATGGGTACACTATGGGTTGCTTGCTGGCGGCGCTGGAGGGATGGTCAGGGGCTGGCTGGCTGCAGGCTGGCGGGGCTGGGGACGGGGAGGCGGAGGCGCCTGAGAGAGGCGCCGGCTCGCAGAGCGGCTGTGATTTCTCAGGGTGGTGGTGGCCCGCCTGGGCCGGCCCGTGGGCTCGAGAATTGCCTGGCCCCTGGAGACTGGTGCAGCTATACTGGCGCTCAGGGTAGCTAGGACGCGGAGGCGGTGGTGGGTACAGCTCCTGGTGGTGATGCTGGAATCCCGATTCCCTGGTCCGGCCGTAATATTCCGGACTGTGTTCAGGGATGTAGCTATTTTGCGAATATTCTTCGCATGGAGGAAATTTCGGATCGATGTAGTTAGAGTCCATCAAATACGAGCTCATGATCATTAATTTCTGGAGTGGAAAATAATTTTTCTCGCTTTGTCGTTTTTCTGCTCCATAAAGCCCTCCTACTAGCTAGCGACCCTGTAAAGTTACTTTCACCATGTGACTCTGCCGGCCAATCACACGGAGCAACCCAGTCCCCGGATAAGGAACCGAATCGCTTTATTCAAAATGTATCCAATTTTTTTTGTGTGTGTGTGGTGGTGGTGGTGGTGGTGATGTGGGGTTAGCTGTCAGGGGCTAGGGTGCCCCAGTGCACACCCCACAGACTGACAGCCTTCCCCTGTAAAAGAAGATGGCAAGCCCCCAGATCCCCTCCAAAGCCTGGGCATGGAGGGGCTATCGGGAGGCTGTGATTCAGCCTTCTTGCAAAGTCTCCCCTTGGGCCTCCAATGGGCCCCTTGGGCCTCGGCTCCTTAGCTTCTCCGAAGGTCTCCATTCATGGCGATCCTGTCTCAGTCTGTGTAGGTCACCGGGCAGCGCCCCTCTTTCTCAGGAAGAGGAAGTTGAATGAGGACTGGAGTGGAGGTTGGATGGGGAGGGGCCCAGGCTAAGCCCAGGAGGCTGAAGAACCTGGAGTGCCCCCCATCCAACGATACCAGAGTCCAGCCCCCTTCCCCACACACACTCACCCAACCCTCTGGCCATGGGGCCGCCAGGCAGGGTCCCAGCTGGACCAGGCAGGTAGAGGCAGCGGGATGCAAATGAGTCTGACGTCATTTCTGGAGGTCTGGGGGTTGAGCCCCCGCTGAAGAGAGACAGGAAGTGGTTGGCAAAAGCAGAGTTCAGAAGCCTCGCCCTCCCCTACTACCCACTGACCCTCCCTGCCCCAGCCCAGGAACAGAAGATCTCTTCCATTGCTGGTTGCTTTTTCCACTCTCCATTCCTTCTGGCCTGCTGCTTTCTGACAACTGCCTCCAAGGCTGCTTCCTAAGGAGCTGGGGCTAGGACGAGAGCGATCTGCCAGGAGTCAGTGCCCTGCGATGGTGTCCAGCCAAGGCCTTGGGAGCTCTTCCTTCTCCATTCCCACAGAGGGCAGACCTAGCTAAGAGGGAGGCCTGTGTTTGTGAGCCTGCTTCAGGCCAGGGATTGTATCCATGTAACACATGTATTTACATGTAAACACATATTCCCAAGGGCCAGCTCCAGGCTGCCTTCCAAAAGCTGAGGGGTGAGCTCACCAAGCTGAGGAGGCTGGGCACACCTCAGAGGGGGGGTGTCTCCAGTCCATTCCTGCCCCCTTCCCTCTCTCTGCCACCCACCCACAGGAATACCCTGGTGGTGGGGTGTCAGGGCCATGGAGGGGGGAGAGGGCAAGAAGGGCTGCTTTTCAACACCCCCCCCCAAGATAGGGGTGGCCTCGTCATGCCACCATTTCCAATTAACTGATCCCATAACTCAGAGTTGGGGGGTGGGTAGCAGAAGGGAGAGCCCAGGGAGGGAGCCGGGTCCCCTTGTTGTACTTGATAACAATTATAGTTTAAAATCATAGCTTGCCGGGGCTCAGCTATATTTTACTTGATAACAATAAAAGTGACACATAAAGTTAACTGTTTATGTTTTATTTATTAGACTAAATCTGCCAGCGGTGGTAGGAGCGCTTGCCTCGTCGCTACAGCTTTTATAGGGCTGTAAAACGTCATAAATCAGTCTCGCGGAATCGCCCGCACTCTTTGTGTCGGCGGCGGCGCAGGGCTGGCGGCCGCTGGCTGCCTGCTCCCTCCTTTCCACGAAAAGTCGTAATGTGATTTTTTTCCCCTCTGATTTTATTATTATGATCGCCGCCGTGATTAGTCAATCTACCTTTAATTCGCCGCCCTACGCTGCCTCCTCCCAGCCCAGCCTGGTTGACACTTGAATAAGTACCTTTTAAAACGGCATAACAACTATTTGAGGGTTTAATTAGAACATCTGCAATTAAGGGAATGAGGAGGGGAAAGAGAAAAAATAAAGCCCTTGTGAGAGGGAGACTGAAGGCGGGAGATTCTCAACCTGTCTCTCACCACCTTTGGGATGCAAGAGAGGGTCCCCACTTCCAAATTAGAGCTCACCCTGAGGGCAGGAATGGGAGACGCTGGGCCACAGCTGATGCCCAAAGGGGCTGATTCTCTGCCTGGGCCCCTGCCTGCCTTCTCTCTTCCCACGCTCAGGTCCCCCCTTACCCCTGGTGCTGGGGAGTGGTCCATGGATGCCCTCTCCCCAAGAGGACAGTGCCTTGCCCCCTGCCATCAGGCAGGTGAGGGAACAGGAACTCCCAGGAGGCGTACCATCTCCTGGAGGAGATTCCCAAATTCCCACAGTTGGTTGAGAACCCCTGCTTACTCCTGTCCCGGACCCTCTTCCTGGGAGGACTAGCTGATTTGGTTGGAAGAGGAACTTGAGACATTGAGGAGGGGAAGGCTGCTGCTTGGTTGATGGTGGTTTGGAGTGCGTGAGGGTTTTGTTTTTTTGTGATTATTGGTGGTGGGGTGAGGGCAGGAAGAGGGTAAAGGGAAACCAACACTGAATACTGACCTACATAAAAAGTCTGAACCACTGCCCCAGACTGCCCCAAGGGCGAGAGCCCGAGAGCTGAAGCTCCGGGAATCTCAGGTGGGGGAGGGGTGGGGAAGGGTGGCTGAAGGAAGAGAAAACTTTCCAGCCCCGCCCCCAACCTCCCTTCCAGGCCAGCACCTGGATCAGGCTGCCCTACCCCATCAGGCTTCCTGTCTATCAGGCTGGCCCAGATAATCTTTTCTCCACCTGAGGAGGTGAGGTCTTGGCCTGAGTACCCGCCTCCCAGCCCGCACACTCACCTTCCACCTGCCCTGCCTCCACCTCAACGCTCATTTCTTCAATCTCTTCACACTCTCGGACTTGTTAAGGAGTTCTTCCCAGGGCATTGCCCATCCTACACGTTTGCTCCTCAGGATTCTGAGCTCCTGCAGGTGGCTGGAGGAAACTCACTTCCGGCCAATGTATGTAAGTAGATACAGAGAGTTCAGATCCCCCCAACTAAATGACAAGTCTGTCTTCGGTTATTATGGATAACAAATATATATGCATACACACTATTAATATTTATTAATATGTTAAATGCCTCCTTTTGCAGCCACAAATATGTAGGGTTCTCACTCCAGTTTTGCACAGCTAATTCAACATGCACATCCATAAAGTGAAGTCTAGGAGATTCCCCCAAATATGTCCATGCTCATCTACATCATTTACTAAAAAAAAAAAACCCTCTCTTAGGGCTCCTATAGCTTAACAGCAAGGAAGTCACCTATCACATGGGAAAATAACAAGCCAGACTGCACCACATGCATATATACAGACATTTTCACTTATTACCAAAGCAGAAATCAAACCCTTTCTGAAGGCTCCTGCACTTAGCATTGGCTTAATGGGGAGGGGGGCACTAAAGCGGCTCTGTGATGAAGCCTAGTATCTGGTCCTGCCTCCTTTCGTGCTTTGCCCTCCTGCTTTGCCAACCCAGGGATCTCTCCACTCCATCTCTGCCCTCCATCTCTCTCTTTCCCGATTTTACTTTTTTTTTTTCTGACTGCTTTTTGCCAGCAACCAAACACTCTCCAAATGCCCCTGACCCCAGACCCCATCTCCTTTCTAAATCTCGAATCGGTTTCTCTTTCGGAAACATGTTTCAGTACAAAGCGCTTCCCTTCTGACACCGCTGAAGAAAAATATGTGTCCATTGTGTGCGAGGCCTTATTGTGCCGGGATTACCATACTGACCGTTGGATAACCCATATTCCTCCCCTCCCCAGTAACAAGCTGCTGGCCGAGAGACCTTGGCAGCTCCACAGATTCTGTGCTGCATTAAAATCTACCTCTCAGACTCCCTGAATTTTCCTAGGGAGAAAAATAAATGGGAGAACCAACGTAGGATTTGGAAGGCAAAGAGAAGGAAAATGAGAGTCATTCCTTTCCCTGTTCTCAGAAGAGCAGGGTTTTTTGTTTTTGGGGTTTGTGTGTGTGTGCCTGTGTGTGTGTGCGCCTGTGTGTGTGTATGTGGTTTTTGTTATTTTAGAGATTAAAAATTGCAACATGTCTTTTTCCTCTTCCTGAAATGAATTGACTTTTAGATGGTATGCAATCAAATAATTCATTTCATTTTTTCTCCAAGCACCTTGAAAACCCCAAACTAAAGCAAGACCTTTATCCCATTTTTTCTGTATGTGTGTGTATGTGTGTGTGTTGTCCCTTTCTAATGCCAGCAGGCTGGGTTAATGTATGCAAAAGAATATGCAAATGCTTAATTGATTTTTTCTTAAATCTCTTGTCAGTAAAAGTAATGAATTGGTCTAAAATGATTTTAATAATCTGGACGTGTCACCAGAAAACACTCAACCTTTTTTTTTCTCCTGGAATCACTTATAGTCTCAAGAAAAAAAAAAACAATCATGGAATGTTAATTTTCCCCCTTTTAAAATATTAAAGATAAATTTCTCTTATTTGTTCGAGGACCACAGGCAGGGTCTTCTCCTGGATTTCCCCCTCCTTGCCTTGCTTTCCTTGGAATTCAATTTTCCTCAAATCTCATTTAAAGTGGCTTTTTAAAAAGTGGCCGCATTTTAATATTGGTTAGACAGAGTGACCTGCATTTCACCTCGGGTGTTTGACTTGTTCCAATAGGTCACTGCCATGGGGTTATTGATGGGGAAACTCCATTGAAATTTGTCTCTTCGCAAATGGCCTTTAGATCTTCCAGCGAGTTCAATAACTAGTTATAATGTGGAAGGGGAAAAATGAAGGCCCTGGGCTAACGAATTTGATGTTTCATTTTTATGCTGGAGAAATTGTTAGTTAGAGGTTGGGTTCCCCAGCCCCTTCCTTGCTCATCCTGGCCTCACTGACCCCACTCCTGTCCCAGGCTGCTGGATTATAACCCCTGTAAAACTTGGGCTGGGGTGTCCCTTCCTCCCTTTGATGCAAGCTTTAATTCTTATTATGAATATGGTTGTTGTTCAAAATTTTGACTTAAGGGTTCAGGAAGCTTGCGCTACTGGAGATTTGTTACCTATACTTTCCTGTTGAGAGGATAC